TGTGTAGAGTGGAAGGGGCGTTGGGGTTAGGTGAGTCAAGTCTCCGGGCTGAAGCAGGCCGAAGTCTCCGCCCGGGGGAAGCACTTTCGCTTTCACTTTCCCTCCGCCTGCCATCTCCCCAGCAATGAGCGGCTACCGGAGCCCGAGGCCTGCTGCTGCTCCATCAGGCCTCTCGCTCACCTGGTCCCCGGTCCCCAGGCACTTGAATCCCGCCCTGACCAGCTCCCAGTGCACGAAACAGACCAAGGCGTCTTGGGGAGAAGACACATCCTGGGCCACCGAGTGATAGAGCAGCTCCAGGCCCGCCATGATGCGGGAGCGAAAACGAGCCTGTCGGGAGCGCGCGAGGAGCGGGCACGAGCCTGTCGGGAGCGTGCGCTGGTTCACAGAGCGGTCACCACAGCAACCAACGGCCTCAAACCCCAAAATACAAATAGAGAAAGAAAACAAATAACCGGAGTTAAAAATATTATTTACATTGGACACTCTGAGAATATCAAGGAAACAAAATTGTACTTTAAAAAGAATTTTAATGTTTGTTTATTTAATGTTGCTTTAGTTATCTTGTGGAACTTGGCATTTGAGCCCCTTTCAAAAGGAAGGCCTTTTGGTTGAAGTGGCCCTAAGTTAATCATTCTCGTTGGTAGACAAAAATAATGGAAGAATTGGCAAAAATACAATGTGTTTACAAGGTTGGTATCAAAACTGAGAGTTATTTGTTTCATTTATCATGAAAGATGGGTTTTATTAAGTAAAATCATAATTTTTAAAACTATAGATGTGTTGGACAGGATGGATGTATAAAGACTGCTTTTCTTGTGGGAAAGTCAAAAAGTAAGGTTCATATGCATAGGATAGTCACTAATCAATCCAGTAGGGAATTAAGAAGATACTTTTTTATCCATGGTGGTTATGTGGGAACTTGGTATCATTGGGATAATTTGGAACGAATGTTTACAAAACCAATTCAAACATATACAAGTGTGTAAGTGAGCGGTATCTCCATTGGTAATTATAAACAGTTTTCTACTTTCCTAATTAGGATAAGATGTTTTGCTACACGTCTTTATATTGGCATCTAATTGACTACTTTAGTCCCCTTATTTAAGGGCAGATGTAACTTAATTGGAACTCCACTCACTGCAATTTAGAAGAATGAGAGGTGACCTCATTGAAACATTTAGGATTCTTAAGGGGCTTGACAACGTAAATACTGAGAGGATGTTTCTCTTCAGGATCCCTGCACCTGGTACAACCAAATTAAAAACTGTGTTGCCTCCCTTGAAAGTGGGTACATATTGGAGGCAGAGAGAAAATGCAAGGTGAGGAAATCCTGAGCCAACATCACATTCAAAACTCAAATGTCTGAGGTAACCCTGTCCTGTTAGCAGCGGAGGTTCTGAATTCTGAGGAAGAGCCACTGGACCCCAAAACGTTAACTCTGATCTTTTCTTCATTGATGCTGCCGGACCTGCTGAGCTTTTCCAGCAACTTCTGTTTTTGTTCCTGTTAGCTACAGAACCTACCAGGTGCAAATTGACCTTAGCAATCACATATGTATCCACTGAAACCCCATCGAAAACCCCAGATGATAGATGGGGTCATCTTTGTCTTGAAAACAAACAAAAATGCATTTCAGATCTACAGCCCTCTAAGTTCGTGCAGCTTCTCCAATTCTGGCCTCCTGGGCATCCCCAATTTTCACTGCTCTGCTGTTGGAGGTCGTACTTTTGGCTGCCTGGACTCTTAAGTTCTAAAATTTCCTCCCTAAGTCCCTATGCTTCTTCATAAATACAAATTCATCCCATAGAAGTATACGTGTGTGTGTGTGTGTGTGTGTGGCGACGTGAATCCTCCTCAAACGCTGCGGACGAGGTTGCCCTGAGGCATGGTATATTGGTGAAATGCTCCAACAACAGATGAATGGACACCGTGCAACAATTGCCAAACAGGAATGTTCCCTCCCAGTGGGGAATACTTCAGCGGTCAAGGATATTCTGCCTCGGATCTTCGCTTAAACGTTCTCCAAGGCGGACTTCAGGATACACAACACCGCAGAGTTGCCGAGCAGAGGCCGATAGCCAAATTTGGTACCCATGAGGACGGCCTCAGCTGGGATCTTGGGTTCATGTTGCACTACAGGTGACCCCACCACACAATCTCTCTCTCAAAAACACACACACCCTCTCTCTCTCTCTCAGTCTCTCTCTCACACACACACACACACACTCACACCACCCCCCCATGTGCACACACAAACAAACTCTCTCTCACACGCAAGCACACACACACACACACTCACTCTCTTCCCGCCACCCCCCCCTTCACACACACACATACACACATGTACATCTATGGGACGAATTTGTATTTGCAGAAATGTTCTATTTTGTTAAAACAAGGACACAGTTTATAGACAGTCAGTCGATGTGGCAATTTATAAATTCCTACTTTAGAAATAAAACCAGACTGACTTCAAACCAAAACACATTCTAAACAAGGCCTCACACCTAATTGTCTGACCTAAAATGTCACCTCCTCTTTACACTGATAAAATCTTTAGTTCCATCATGGCAGTGACTTGAAAGAAATTCTGAGATTTACCTATACATATTAATCAATTATAACTTCCTAACCGATTAAAGATTTAACAGCATCTTAGGTTTGTTTAGTAGATTCTCATTGGTTGTGTAACCCTTTGATCTTTTACTTATGAATTCTGTGTTCTGCATGCTTCTTTCTCGCTTCACCTGATGAAGGGGATACATTCCGAAAGCTTGTGTTTTCAAATAAACCTGTTGGATTATAATCTGGTGTCGTGTGATTTCTGACCTTGTCCACTGCAGTCCAACACTGACACCTCCAAATTCTCAGTGACCTTGCAACTGCCTAAATCTGTCAATTCCATAGGTAAAAAGAAATATCTTAAAATTTTGTATAGGATAAATTGTATCTAATTAAACTCTTCCTGCTCTAATGGAGGTGTTTAAAATGAATGAGCAATTCAACTGTGTAATGATTGGAGTGAGGTGGGCCAAGTGGATCTCATAGAATGAGTTTCCTGATAGGGGCTCTTAACCTGGCAAAATCAGGGAGTCCTGGCTGACAGATATAAACAGGAGTTCTGCTCACTCTAGGAGCCAGCTTTCAGCTAACTGGATCAGTGTCATGTACTATGCACATGTAACTAAAGGGTGACTTGGTGATGGAATACCAGCCTTTGTGGATTTATTTCAAATCTGGTGGAATTAAACAGTTCATAGAATGCCTACAGTGTGGAAACAGGCCCATTGGCCCAACAAGTCCACATTGAACCTCAGAGCATCCCACCCAGACCCATCCTGCATAACCTGCCTAATCTACACATCCCTGAACACTATGGGCAATTTAGCATGGCCAATCCACCTAGCCTGCACATTTTTGGACTGTGGGAGGAAACCAACATAGACACAGGGAGAATGTGCAAACTCCACAAAGACAGTTGCCCGAGGGTGGAATTGAACCCGGGTCTCTGGTGCTGTGAGGCAGCAGTGCTAAACACTGTGCCACCATGCCACCACCAAAAAAATGGAACGCTTCACAAATTTGCATGTCATCCTTGTTGTTTTCCTTAAGGTGCAAATTGTGCAGCAACTGTGAAGTTATTATGTAGTCTGCTCATAATCCATTTTCTCTAAGGTACTGTGTATAACTGTACAAAATAATTTGAGGCTACCATGCATTGAACAGGGTGTGCAGAATAAAGATAATTTAGAAGGATTGTTAGATATGTAGGAAAATTATCTCCTGTGGACTTCAGATCAAAGAGACACAAACTCCAAGTTAGAACTAAGATATTCAGAAGCACAATCGAGAAGCATTTCACGAAAGGTGGTGGAAGTCTGGAATACTCTCAGTTAAAAGATGTGGATGCTGTTGTCAGTTTTAAGACTGATTTAAAATTGGTTTCATTTATAAAGTTTGTGAGTTCTGACAATTTGTGCTGAATTTTGCCAGATAAGCTAGGAGATGGGGAGTCTGATAAAATGGTGCATTACTTGCTGGGGCCTGCCTACCAGGTTCCAGTTACTCCCAACTACACTTTACAGGTGAAAGCCGTCAATGTACCCTCATCCTGCAGTTGCAGCCTCAGCAATAATCACTGCTTGTGGTGGCACTGCTGAGTTGCTTGCCCTCTGATTGGACCAGCAGAGCCTGGGGTAAGTCACCATCTTTATAGGGTGGTAGACTCTGTGATAACTTGCTGCCCAGTGAACTGAGGTTGTCCAACATCTTCCTTCCAGTCTCTGCTTTCAGCCCATTAGCTGCTTGTCTCAGGGGCCCATTTGTTAAGTATTTCCCACATTTACTGATTTGTTTGAGATTTCAAGTATCTGCAATATTTTGTGTAAAAAATGTGATGTCATTAAGTAGAGATATCAAGAGATATGGAGTAAAGGTTCATAAATGGAGTTAACATATAGATCAAATATTATCTCAATGAATGAAGGAGAAGGCAATAGGTGTTATCACTGGACAATTAATTTAGAGACTGAGGTAATGTTCTGGGGACAAGAGTTTGAATCCAACCAAGAATTCAGCTGAAATTAACTCTGGAGCATAATGATGACCATGAAACTATTGTCAATTGTCAGGGGAAAACTCATCTGGGAAGCAAACTGCCATCTTCACCTAATCTGGCTTACCTAAAACGCCAGACCCACAGCAATGCAGTTGGCAGTTAACTGCCCTCTGGGCAATTATTTGGATGGGCAATAAATGCTAGACTAGCCAACTATGCTCACATCCTGTAAATGAATAAAAAGGAAATAGGCTCAAGAGGCTGAATAGGGTTAAGAGATTGAATAGCCTCTTGTTCCTTTGATTTGGACTTAGATTTTCATCTGGATATTAAGGTTCACCTATTTCAAAGAACTCATCATGTCTGAATTATTAGTCCAGGCTTCTAGATTACAAGAAAGACTTGCATTTTATTGACTTTGTTGCACCTCAGGACATTCAAGGACACTTTACTGACAATAAAGTACTTTTGAAACATAGTTACTATTGTAAAGTTTATTTTTTTTTACTTATTCACTCATGGGATGTGGACATCACTAGCTGATCAGCATTTATTGTCTGTTCCTAGTTGTCCTTGAGAAGGTGGTGGTGAGCTGCCTTCTTTAATCGCAGCAGTCCATGTGACCCACAATCCCTTGAAGAAGGAATTCCAGGACTCTGACTCAGCAACACTGAAGGAAGGGTGATGTATTCAGGATGGTGAGTGGTTTGGAGTGGAACTTGCAGGTGATGATATCCCCATATTATCTGTTTCCCATGGTGCTGTTTAAGGATCCTTGGTGAATTTCTGCAGTACATCTTGTAGATAGTACACGCTGCTGCTCCTGAGTTTCAGTGGTAGAG